TGATGCGTGTGTTAAGAATATAAATGGGATGTTTGCCTTCTCTTGATCAAACGCAGCTCTCGTGGACAGTAACCGATATTTTCCTGCCCTGCAGCTGCCACACATATCCAGAGTTTTCAGAGGCACTAAAACAGCGGCACTGATACCCTGACTGTGTTTTACCGACAGGATGTGTCCGAGAATGATGGCTGCGTCCTGCTTGACACCCTCCAGCTTCAAATTCTTGCACCTGACTTTCTGGATCTGGTCTGAGAGTGAAGTTATCCTGGCTGATTTTTGACGACACTCCTCGTGTACTAAAGACAGACTCTGGCTGAAAACAACGGTTAAACACTCGGTTAGAGCGTAGCTCAGTTTAAATGTGTGACGAGAGATCAGATGATCTCTGGTTAAAGTCTATGTGTGCATACACGTACGTAGCACAATTTACAGGTTACTGCCAATAAACTGACAAATGAGATCGTGACCTTGAACGCAATTTAAGTGAAGACCCATTCGGGATGCTGTGTTTAAGCATCAAACTTTCACTAAACTGTAGACGGACGATGGCCTTTTCACCGTGGCATAAAATCATTAGTCCTTCAGCCAAATGAGCTGAAAATGTGTTTAATAGCCTGAATCTTTACTTTTAATGTAAGTCTGTCAGTCGGTACTAAAATAAATATGTGTCTGATCCTGTGGACATTTAAAAAGACATTTGTCTTCTACCTGAGAGTCTTGATTTTAGCCAGTGTGCGCAGCTTATCCAACGTACAGTCCTTCAGCTCTGTAGTCAACTGCTGGCACTGCTCTCTTAGCTCATCTACGTTCTGAAAAATGGAAGACAGTGAATGATTTTAGTGATTATTGTGCTTTAATTAATGATATTTAATGATCACTTTTATTTCATAGTCATAAACAATATCAAGCTCAATGCTGGGAGCTTATATATTTCAGGCGTTCTCGTTGCAGAAGCTGCAAACATAATGATTTCATACATCCAATCAGATAAGACATCAATTTTCCATCTTCTTCTTGGGTTTGACCTTTGACACTAAAACAGATATCTGTGTAAGTGCAAAACACTGAGACCAGTGCTTGGTCCTCACAGGAAATGGAAGACATGCGCTGTTCATTTCTTATTTGATGTAGAGAAAAAAATGTAATAAAAAATACTGCGAATTCTCAAAAATCTCAAAAATACTGAAAACTTCTTGGGAAGCAGCGACTTTGAATTATAGGTATAAGTTTGTTTTTTCAGTCCTACTTAAAATCACTCTCATCAGTTGACTGTCTTCTTTTAAAAAAAACTGAAACTGAGTAGATTTATATAAACTTTCAGTCTCAAACCCGTTTGGGGAAGCTGCTGTGAGCTGTCCGCAGTTCACTTTGAAGGCGCTTTAATAAGAAACATCCAGTGTCTTAGTGAGGTGACATTACTGTCACGAACAGCTGTCCTCTCACCTTCTTGAGGATGGATTTCTGCTGAATAATCTTAATGAAATCTTTCTCCAGTTCATCTTGTTCAGAACAAAGATCCCTCTGTCTGGCTTGCATGGCGTCTACGTCCTCCTGCAGGGGCACCAGCTCACTCTTCAGAAAGTGGAGCTGCTCCAGCCGCTCCGCGTGCTCAGCCCTGTTTTTCGTAAGTATTTTGTCAGTCTTCAGCTTTACAGAAGGCTCCACGATGCTCTGCAATCTCTCAACCTTCCTGGTGAGTGGACGAGAGAGAATAATGGATGAATATTTATCGCTCGTTGCGAAGAAACAGTCAGACCCGGACTGGACTTCACCTGTCCATCTCCACCTGTGCTGCCACCGTCACTGTTTTGGTGGCAATGTCATGCTCTTCCTTCTGTTTTTCCAGCTGCTTCCACAGAGACTCCACGGCAGACAGACGCCACTTCACTGAAATCAGGTCCTTCTTCTGCTGCTCCAACTTTTCCACTGAGGGGAGGAGAGGAGTGTACAGGTAGCAAAGAGATTATTGATGCATGCTGAGTAATCCAGGTAAGGAAATCTAAAAAGTTGATTCTGAAACTAAGCCTGTGGCTCATTGTTAAACAATAGTGCTAGTTTTAGTCGTTTCTAAGGTTTGGGATTTAATGACGTAACGAAATATGTCTCCCTGAGATAGAGAAGAGATGACGCTCCACTCGAAGGTGTTTGAAACAGTGTGTAAGCACCACCTGTTCAGTGGGGACTGTGACCACACTGTCCTCACTGCTTCTTACATTTTATTTTAAATTTCTCTATTTGACATCACACTGTAAACAGCCCTTTACTAAGTTATTGCATCTATA